TATGTGGAAGACAATACTGGTTTATAAACGGTTACTACCGTATTCAATGCCTTAGTCTAATAAGATCGGGGATTATGGGATCATTGGTATCTTGTCGTACAGTGAGATCTTTTCGAAGAAAGGACGACCTGTCACAGTAGACAAGTATTCGCCGTGAGTGGACATTGTTCACATCGGCGTAACACGTTTATAAGTGCCTGTATACCAGAAGTTGATAAGATAAAGTAAGTAGCAACTAACGGATCTTTTCCGGGAAGAGGAGTTTCCCCAATGTATTTGGCAGAACAATTCAGTCTAATTATGTCCTTCACAAGTGTCCTCTTCTCGGATTTTAGGTGAACAACCGTACATCTGCACCTTTCCCTTCAGCTTTAAAGTGGGGGAGGGGAAAGCAACGAATTGATGAAATCCTGGGCATAATTTGCGGGCAGCGTTTTGGTAGGTCGGATGAGCTTACACGGCATCGGAGGAAGCATAATATGGACCCACCGTTTCGGTGCTCAGTTTGCCCGAAATCCTTTTATCGAACGGACCATCGTCTTGCCCACCAACGACGTCATCAGAAGCGATTACAAAGAAAAGCAACAAATGACTCGTCTGTTGAGTTGATGTCGAATTCATCTTCAGAAGTTCCACCTCTTCAAATGAATATGAATAACATGTCACTTTTGCACGAGTTTGGAGGGACCAAGGTGTTGAACACTCTATCGGGAGAAGTACATTCTGATTCACTCAGCCCCAATTGTGCCCAAACTCACACAACTTAAGCGAACTGGTAATGTACACATCAGATTCTACTGTTAATCATTCGTTTGAGACCGTTCTATTGGAAGAGCTATATGGTCATATTTCTTGAGCATCTCTTCAAATCTTGTTCCAGTGTGCCTTTTACATACACCGTTTTACAAATATTCTCATTACGTCCTACCGCACACTTTGGATTTCGGCAGCTGCGCGATATCACCGTTGGATCGAATAAAAAAGTTAGGCTAATGCATCATCAGTGGTTTTGGGATTATGCCTTTTGCAGGAGTGCGTTGGCCCCACAAGTAGGCGGTCACGTTCGGAAAACGCTTGTTTGTCTCACGCTATGGAGTAGCTTTCCACTAGACAACCTGGCGTGGGGTCTATCCGCATTCTTGGCGTTAGTAGTCCCGCTGACATCCGGACATCGCCATCATTAGATTGATGATGGATTTCCGTTCATCCGGCTTCTTTGACTTTCACTGTTTTTAGCCATCCAAGTACATTAGCTTAGACCAAGTTCATTCGTTTGCTTTGAATCGCTTGTGCCAACTAAGGGCGAATTTACCAACATGACGAAGCTGTATCTGTTTAGCGACTGAAATGGTTATACTTTCAGATTTCTGTCCTAGGAAAACTTGGAACTGGAAATAGTTTTTTGGCGCTTTCGTTTAGAAGCAGGTGAAATCTTCATGTATTGAGACTCCTAAACGATACCAGATCATCCTCTTATTATTATATGTTACCGGTATCTGATTTAAGTGCGTCGTTTTTCCCAACAGGACTTCAGCTTCCATGTGCCCGAGACCAACCGCCTAAGGGCACTAACTGCCAAGAGTATACCACTTGATGTTCCTGCGTGGGCGGCGACGGGGCAAGACACTCGAATCACGTGCCTGTGGGTGTTGATTCGTTCATGTGACCCTGAAAATTGGCTCAAAAGTACATATGGATTGCGAGTGCGTGGACGGTTGAGCCATGGTAACCGCAGCCCAGTTGAGCTAAAGTTCGCCTAAGCGTAGGTACTTAGCTAGGTAGGTAGAACTGGCGAAAGTTCGGATATTAGCGTACGTGAGGACGTTAGGCTGTAGCAAGCTTGGCGAAGCGACTGATAGCAGTTGGGTTGAGCTGAAGATAACTCATCACAAGATGTTCCGCGTGCCTGTTGGTCTGAGGAGTACTACTGATGTTCTTTATGTCAGGAGCATTCACGTACACAGTGTCCACGCTACATCACTCTAGTGACCACGAATTCATACCAACTGCTTTTGATGATCCGTGATGAGCTTTACGCAATGATACCCACATTTTTATGTCGGTGACCAGAGCGGATTCCTTCTCGCTTAGTTGGGTACGTAATTTTCTCACAATTTAAGTGGGGGGAAATAACTCTCCTACCAGAAAGAAGTATAGGGTTACGAAATCTCACCCGACCCGCTTGTGGTAGTGATCGAGTCCTTAATTCATATTCATCGTACAACCTCAAACAGAGCGAAAACCTAGCATTTATCCGGTGATGGCTGAATTCTCACTTATACCGGATTCGATGTTGTGATGGTCAGTATGTGGAATGGAGAGCATGCGTGCTGTGGGATAGACCTAGAAGAAAGAGCGGAATTAAGAACCAGGTTTATCTTTGTATTCGTTAGGAAATGTCCCTTTCGTGGACTGTAGCACACATCAATGCTTGATTTCAGTCACCGTATCTGGAGTTTACCCGGGCTTTTCTTAATATGCCTTCTGTAGGCAAGTTTGTCACCTTTTCCTCATGATTGAGTCTTGATTGGTAAGGTCCTCGAAATGGATGTTTGTTCCATTTTGGTCAGTCGTCATTCTTACTAGCAGAAGAGTGTGATGGTCGAATTCGGGTAACTTCAAAACCTGATGAATTTGTGAAGACCGATATTACAGTTGTACGGCGAATTTGCTGTAACTGATAGCAGGGGTGTGGTGGCTACTATTTAAGGATACCATAAACAACCGAAATTACACTACGTTAGAAAGAGTGAACATACCGGGAGTATGTACACTGAGGGGTATGTCCAGTGTATTCCTATGCGTCTAGTTTTCCCATACTTGTCGTCAGTTTAGGATGACAGTTTTAAGGTAAAAGCCTTTCACGGTAAAAAAAAAGTACTTGGGAATTTCCATGTAAAGCCGACGAAGGCCGATTGGGTTATTCCTAGCAAGTTATGAATTTCTTCCCTACTCAACCGCAAAACTTGATGTTCTGTATGGGTATGTGTGCATGGAAGAAAGTAGGAAGAATGAACTGAATTGATCAAATGACCGCATCAAAAGAACGCTGTCATGAAGAGGTAGATGTCTAAATTTGCACACCTTTAGACAATCATGAAGGAACACTAGACTGCTGATGGTGTTTTCCCATTGCATCGGATGTGCCCAGTTTTCGTAAACGTTAAGAATGATGCTCCGTCGTACATCGGAGTTAACTAGTTACCCCAATAATGAGGCTGGCTCCTGAACAAAGTACGCTGATGGGGAATGGCCAGGAGGCTTATGGTGAAGAATGTTCACCTTAGGGAGGGTTTGTTGGCATTCACCACAAGTACCATTATCCCCTTGAACGGAACTGGTTTTGGGGGAATTTCTGAAACAGGGAAACGAATTCCTCCGATCCTGTCCTTGACACTGACTCCTGGTAAAAACCCTGAAAACGGCGTCCGACCAAATACCAACTCATGGAGATAGTGATCACTATGGCATTTTGTGGTTACTCAAAATGTTCAAGTAGGGCTGACCGAATAGGAAATTCCGAGTCTGCGGTGATTTTCACATGGCAGCGAACACTGACTCACAAAAACATTCATATCTGGCATGGTTTTACCTGACTGACTCAATCCAATGTCGATCGATAGTGAGTCGCACTTAGGGCTTGGCAAGCTTATGGGCAACATTACCTACTCCTAGAAAACCCCTATAAATTCACAAAGCTTCAGCTGGACGTCATCCGATTCTCGGCACCGACTGGACTACTGTAGCTCCAACCTAGTTCTATATTGTCAATCTTTGTTCATTCGCTCAAGTCGTGTGTAATAGTCGACCGCTCGACATTGCTCGAACGAACCGGGTCAACATTCACGCTTGTTCCGTAGTACCAGTGCATCAGAGATGCTTGGATGAAATCACGGTTCGGGCATAGTTAAAAACTTATACCAGTTCATCCTGTAGGTCTCACTTCGTGAAGGATTCCCTTGACCTGATTCCAGTGGTTGACCGAACATAGCCTGTAAGTGACCCGTCTTACATGGGTCGAGCGCACGAAGACTACGGTTAACTGAATTTGGGTGCGCTGGTTCCTGATTTAGACTTGAGGACAGTTTTGTACCATGGCGGATTCTCAGTTCAATACAAAAAAACTTGAGGTGCGACTCACCCGCGACCATTACATAGATAAATCAATTCTAACTTGGACGCCCTCAACAACTTCCTGTGCGCGAGTGAACGCATTTGATGTTTAGATTTCAAAATAGTGGGTATCCAAAGACACAAAGTTATAGGTCTGTGAAAGTTGTCCTCTTGCCAGGTCTGAATGTTGCTCACAGTCTTCAGGATAGAATTTATGATTTGAATGATTGAGGTGCGAGATAATGGGAAGTACCCCTGGAAGAGGCTTAATGGAATTTGATTTTTTTCTTCAGTAGGAATGAACAAGTGAGGAGTGCTCAGTAACCAAGGTGCAGTCGGAATCGATGGTAAGCAAGCTGTATGACTAAGTTGCCAGTCAGTTTTACAGAAGAATTTGCCATAAGTTGTTCAACTGACCAGACCAGAACAGCTTTCCGGTCTGCCCTGTTTTGAGTTGGAATCCCAACAGCTGGTCGGAATGCATTTTGCAGAGGAGTCTGGATACGGTAAGGGAATCAAGTGGAAATGGCTAAAGAGCCCGCTAGATGGATGGGCAACCGCCCGTCTCCGCGCTTTATTCTGAATATGGAAGATTTTTTTATGGATCGACGGATCGTCCAATCCTGTGCACATCGTCTAGGGCCACGCACCAGAATCTGCGGTTCGACCATAGATAACCTAATACGATGGGACGGTTTAGCGGGTCTGGTCCTACGTTCTACCCACCGAATTCAAGCATGAAGACTACCTTGGCTGAGACACCTGATGTGAGAAATACGGGCTTGTTCAGGCCTACCTTCCGTTAGCGTTTCAAGCTACGCTGTAGAGTTCCCGCAGCCCAATTACCGACAAGACGGAAAAGGCTTGTGTTAGCCGATAGGCCGGTCATGGAATTGGCATGGTTACTGGAGGAGCAAAGTTGTGCCCAACACTGCAGTGCCCTATTCCATTCAATTGTTTTTAGCGTGGCTCTGCGTCAAGGCCACAAGGCTGGCGGAGACAGTCAGGTGCCAGCGTTTATCGTTGCTGTGACGATCCGGTACACCAACGCCACGATTCCACAATGGAACTGCGGCAACCTGCGCTCGATTGCCTGTCCCCACGATGATGAATGTATGGAAAAGCGGTTTTACGTGGGGGGAGTGAGTATCCCAATAGGCAGTCGGTTTGCAACATTCATTTTAGAAATTCTGAATGCCGTTACTTATATTGAATCTCTGGGGTTGAAACAGATGTTTCTTTGTGCGCGCATTGCAAGCAACTGTGACGCCTGCTTTGTTGTTCATCATCATTAAGCCACTGTGCGTACATCCACTCACCATTTGGATAGCACTTGCACCAAAGTTTTGGCTCGAATCCAGACAGTTCACAACAGACCATAATTCACCACTGATTGCCTCGATACAATAGAACTGCTGTCAAAAAGACTTCATATCTATTTACTGTGTAGTAGAAAAATTCAAATACAAAAACGCAAAAAAATAAATACTCTATCTACTCTGAAATGTCCTTCTGGAAGAGACAGGCTTTTACCATAGTGTGACGGCTTGAATGTCACCTTGTTCCATTGAGCTATACGGGCTAAGGATGTCAATAAGACGCTCCCAGGGTTTCACGCCAGGTGAGAGGTCTGATCAGATTGGGAGTGGGAAGTGTGGCGACTTGTTTTTAAGGCAATATAATGTACCAAATTTCACTCCTGGTCAGGGTTTCGAGTCAAAATCTTTGGTCCTAATCCTCCTCCTGTCTATGCCTGGATAGTCTGGGCTAAGTCTGAGCTCTGGCAGTATTCCAGGCTGAGTACAGCCTTGTTCTCTGCAACTGAAAACACGGTCATGGCGCAAAGGTCTTCGCGGAGTGTTATCTGCCTGATCGCATTTGCATACAACAGGACGCGTAAGCGAAAACGGACTGCTACTGACGCCTTCCTCTTTCCTCTTCATCTCCTCTTCTCTCCATCCCACTGGTAACCCTCACCTTGTAGGCCCATCCCTTGAGACTGACGACCTCCTTCGTCTTACACTGGTCTTGGTCCCAACCTCTGCGGACCATCTCGAAATCGACCTTCAAGCTTCGATGCTCGGTGTATTTGGTGGCTTTCGCTACCTGCACTGTGGAGCAAGCGGGACGACAAGCTGCTGTTGTTCTCACACTGGACTCGATGCTAGTTAGCGGAAAGAACAATTCAAAATGCAAGCAGTGTTTGAGCTAACTGCCTTATCAGTGTCTACTCGACTCCGGAGGCCACTGCAGCTGGATGCACAGTGGCTGGCATCTGGCTAAGTTACCCGGCGGAAAGATCCTTGCTTGACTGGATACTCAATGATAGTCACCTTTTAACGACAGCGAAACACAGCTGTTGTGCTGTCGGCATTCTAGGATGTTTGTACTGTGTCCACGTCTACGGTCTGCGTCTGCACTAGTCAACTAAGTTTGTTCAACTTGACCGCAACGCAATTCGGTACATAACTTGAAGATCCCATGTAACAGAGAGCAACTATGTTCTTTTTCGAATAGAGAATTTTAAGCCCTTCCGAAGTGTTATGAGAATCGTTCCATTACTCCAAAAGATTGGTAAAAATAACAAGGACCCGAAGTTTTCGACAAAAAAATTCGACGAGTCATTGGCTTAGTTTCTGTCATATCTGTCTGCTGTGCCGCTCAGTGCTTAAAAATGGACACGCCGACAAGGGACACAACAGCCCTTGTGCGAACAAGTGAGTGGGTGCAAAACGTACACCCGTTTCACGCTACATATTGAGGGGGCGTTTGGCTGACCTTGATCCAACCGTATCTCGCGTTGCCTGGCTTTGATTCAGGGCAGTCTGGTCGGCGTCCGGTTGAATTGAGGGTCTCGGTAGATTCCGGGCATTCTGTGGTTGCTTTCAGGAATCTGACCTTCCTGATAGTTTCGCAAATGTTTTAGATATCCGTTATGGTGGCAAACACAGAACAGACCAGAATGGGAAGAATTCAAGCTTTTCTGAATGAGGCGCTACAGCTTATATCCAGGTTTCTGTCGAAGCGAAAACGCAGTTGGTGGAACTGTGATCAATCAGCTGTAGGCAGTCTCGTTCGATTCCGTGACGGAGACCTCAACTCCCGGGGAGTTTTTGGCTGTCTCAACGGCCTTGGTGGTTGTACTTTTCGCTAGGCTGACGCCCGCCTACATACGCCGAAAATAGTTATGGTAAAGCATTCAAAGGTAGTGCTATCGTCGCAATTCGACCGAATCAGAAGTTGTTTACTATACCTGCGGTCAGTGGCGTAAGATCGTGTACTGAATGCTGGAATCCGATTCGCGTAACATTTGAAAAAAAAAACGGAGCTTGACAAAGCTGTCTAAGGCGAAATAAAATACTAGAAACATGGATGTGTTGTAGATACTGGTTTTGTAGTCATTACTGTCACATCTGCTTCAAAGCTACAGTTCACTGTTCATGAACTTCAAAGAGTAGCCTTTTGTTTGCGGGTGAAATTTTGCGTACATTTCACTAGGATTGTATGTTTCGATTTGTCTGGTATCTTGAATTGATTTTAAATAACTCTCTATGTAGCTTTGCTACTTGGGGAATCAAACCATATATGACGATGTGTACAATGTATGGAGACAAGTGGCTGCAGCAAGTCCGCACGCAGACGCCATCCACATCATGAGCCGTGTGTGGATTTCACGATGAGGGTCATCGATTATTCTGTATTTGAATGCTAACCGTGTTATGGGGAACCAGCTAACTTCCAGAAACGGAAACTCGTCGGCATTTTATTCAGTAGTTTTGTATTGGTAAAAGTAAACCCGGACTTGGTAATAATTCCTCGTAGAAATTCGGGCATAAGCTGATCCTAAATTACACTGACCTAAACACTTTGAAATTTTCGGATTGAAATTCCCTGTCGAATAATGTGCACACTGTGTTCTTGCTGGGCTAGCAGTATGTTACCAGAAAACGGTTGGAATTTACTGCAGTTACTTGTATAAGGGAGGCAGTTTATTTCCAATGTTCTAAATATCATATTCTTTATAATTTATTGACTGGGGACAGCTCTCCTGTGATTGTGAGGGCCCCATGGCAGCTTGGTGAAATAAGTTTGCATGCCAGACAAGGTGAATCTTGCATAGGCCAGTCTCGGTTGAATGCATGAAAGAATACGACCATTTGATGATGGACGGAACTCCGTCCACAGTACCACGAATCTCGCCCTTTTGTTTTAACCTACCTAGCGCTCGATCACTTGGATTAACATATTCACTCTCATTTACTTCACTTAAACAAGAAATTGACATCTCAGCGATGAAACATGGTGAAAGAAAGATGATTTTGGACATTGAGGTCGGTGACGTCAAAAATCTACAATCATGTCACTATCGTATCACGCTGACGTGCCAGTCAGCCATCCATATCCGTATTTATTGAGCTCGGTATTATGACGCCCAGACTGTGGAACCACTTCTTTCTGGTGAGAATTGAACTCTTGACGTTGCTGGATTTTAGTCGTGTTTCTTCTAATTTTCAGTTTCATACAACCCCAACTTGTATGCTATGAGATTTAGCACTTACATTGGCTTCGGCAGTTGTATGCACCGATTGTGGACGTTCGTGAAAAAAGACCACCAGATACCAGAGACTAGTAATTCTTTTATTTCAGGTGGGCTGGCATTAGGGGCTCTCTGAAAAAAAACAATGGGGATTTGACATGGTAGCACATTATAGAAGCACACGGACTCAATTTTTTCAAAACCAGCTTCGTTGTCCCCTTCGCCCTCAGGTAAGCTATCATCAGAATTCTTCCTGGATAATGTCTGGATCGGGGAAATGGATGATGGTCGTATGTACTGAACTGTTAATGATGGTCGTCCTGCGTACGCTACAATGAACCAGGATCATGATTCAGTTGGCGCGATATTCGAGTTATCGCAGTATATTTTCAGCAACCTTGTGAGTAGTTTCCTTCGTGAAAATATACTGCGATATCTGGAATATCGTGCGAACTGAATCATGAGGCGGCCTGTGTGCAGCACATTCAGCTGGAGGACATCATAAACGAGCTTTTATTATTATTATTAAAAAAGCTCACACAGTGTGAACGAAGAGGCAAACACATAGGCCTATTGCTCACAGTCGTTCAAGGAAGACCACAGGACAAGGAGATGGCTGGATGCATTTAGAACTAATAAATGGAAGCTACCATTATTATTCATTGGATCTTCATAACTCCAAGTGGAGGGAGTGGCAGTGCTCAGACGGGAGAGGTGAGAGGTTGAGAGGTGAGCTCTAAACTGAGTGACAGGGGGAACGAGACAGACGAAGCACAAACGAGAGAGGTAGATCAAGCACTTTTTGTGATTGAGCCATTGGTTATCTGGCTTTCTGTCAGCACAGCTTTTCGCCCCACCAGTTCAAATGAGGGCTGTCGTGAAAAATCCAGGTAATTTATTCATACACCAGGCACTTGTCAGTAGTGAGGTAATGAAGTATCAGTGAACTTCATCGGAACCGAGAGAACAGGCAAATCCAACTCAGTTGCGTTACCGAGTTGGAGAGGCGCGAAGATATTGTGCGGTAGCTAACAAGAGAGTCCTATTCAGACTGCCTGCGCTTAGCCTGAGTGACAGGTACACACACCCACAGTTTTCCCATCTGTACCGAGGTGATCAAGTCACTTCTGTCGTGTTTAGGTACGATGCTGAAGTGACCAACACATGTCTGACGTGTTGACTGTTGGCCTGACTCGAGAGTGAGTACTCAAAGCTAGCAAGAAAAACTATCCCGGTAAGTATCCGGAAATGAGTAATGCCATGTGATCTCAGTGTCAGACACTACGTGAGAGTAAAAAGTGCATTAATACGGCCTTGGAGGTGTCGCCTTAAACGTCCAGTAAAAAACACCTCTGATTAGACTGAAGATAGTTCGCTTCGTATGTCTGCTGGATGTTGGAAAGCTGAAAGTATAAGAATAGTCTGCAGTCTTGAAGGTTGTTAACTATTGAAGGCTTCTGAAAATCTCGAATTCTAGCAATGTGACCAAGTTTTGATCACTCTTGGTGCTTTGAACATTTTGTACTGTAATTTCTCCACCTTATATGCTCTCCAATTATCCGGCGACCAGGCTGTA